GGCCCCAGGCTCACTGTGCTCCCAGTTGTCCCCAAAGAAAACTGTTTCAATTTAGACAACTGTAACTGCGCTGGGCCCGTTTTCTTCCTTTTTTTCGTTTGTTTTGCTTTGTTCGAGACACGGTTCTCTGTGTAGCCTTGGCTGTCCTGGAGCTCCCTCTCTGTAGCCCAGGCTGACCTCGAACTCACAGAGACCCTCCTGCCTCTGCCTCCCGAGTGCTGGGGTTAAAGGCTCAGGTCAACGCCTACCACCTATTTTTTTAAAAAAAACATTCTTTTTTTATTTATTTGTTTATTATGAACACAACATTCTGCTTCCATGTATATGCACACCAGAAGAGGGCACCAGATCTCATAACGGATGGTTGTGAGCCACCATGTGGTTGCTGGGAACTGAACTCAGGACCTCTGGAAGAGCAGTCAGTGCTCTTAACCCCTGAGCCATCTCTCCAGCCCCTGCCACCTATTTTTTAATCTAAATCCGCAGGTGGTAGTACCTCCCCCATGCGGTTTGTAGAAAGATGAGGTAAGCCACCATGTTTATGGGAGTTTCGATTCTTGACTTGAGTTTTCTCCTCCTCCAGTGTATCTGTCTACACGTCCCCTCACACGTGTTTAGCTTTTTTGTTTAGCTGGCTCGGTTGCCTCCCGACTCAGCTGGTTTTTAGTTTTGTGAGCTAGTCTCCTTAGGTAGCTCAGGTAGCCTGGGACTCTCTTCTGCAGCCTTTGCTCCTCTAGCGCTGGGGATCACAGGCCTGCTCCACCACAGCTGGCCCTCAGACTTGCAAGTCAAACTAAACCATGCCAGAGTTTATTCCCGCTGAAATGTTAATAATTATACGTGCCTTTTCTTTCTGTTTCTCTAATCTTTAGTAGCTCCCACGGCTTCTGGAACCGAGGTTTAGGTCACAGGCTCATGGGGGGATGCGGGTGTCTTGAAAATTTTGGCAATACTCAAAGGTTTCTGAAAGTACAACAAAACCAAACATAGCATCCGTTGTGCATCTCAAAATTGTGGTGGGGCTGGAGAGATGGCTCAGAGGTTAAGAGCACCGACTGCTCTTCCAGAGGTCCTGAGTTCAATTCCCAGCAACCACATGGTGGCTCACAACCATCCATTATGAGATCTGGTGCCGTCTTCTGGTGTGCAGATAGACATGGAAGCAGAATGTTGTATACATAATAAATAAAAATGAAATCTTAAAAAAAAAAAAAACACACAACTTGTGTTGGTGGCAAAAGCCTTTAATTGAAGTATTATGGAGGAGGAACTCTGTGAATTCAAGGCCAGCAGGTCTACAACAGCAAGTTCAAAGGACAGGCAGGTCTAACTACATAGACTTGTCTCAAAAACCAAAAACAAACCAAATACTTGGTGACAGCTTTGGGCAGAACACGTAAATGTACACAGTTGAACTACGCACACCACCAGGCTATGTAGCCAATGGGCTCTGTCTCAGAATCTATCTATTCCTAGACTATATGCTATGAATTGCAATGTTTTGGCCATACACAAGTCCTGTTCTTTTTTTCTTTTTCTTTTATTTTCTAGACAGGGTTTCTCTGTGGCTTTGGAGACTGTCCTGGAACTAGCTCTTGTAGACCAGGCTGGCCTCGAACTCACAGAGATCCACCTGCCTCTGCCTCCCGAGTGCTGGGATTAAAGGCCTGCGCCATCAAGCCCTATTCTTGAAAAACCCAAACCCTCAGAGTCTTGGGCCTTTCCCTGCCATGTCTGATACTGTCTCCTCCACACATGGCTATAGCCAGCATCTGATCGATTAATGTAATTAATATTCATTCAGCAAGCACTGGACTGTTCAGTAGTGACTTTATGCCAGGTCCACACAATTAAATAAAAATCTTCACTATTTCGATTATCAACCTAACTGCAAGAAATGGACAAATGTGAAAGTCCAACCTGTAGGTGGCGCTGCAAGAAACCAAGGAAGCCATTTAGGGAAGAGGGAGACCCTGGGAATCTGAGAAACATCGGGGTTTGGCATCGGTTTGGGATTAGAGTCAGAGACAGAAGGAACATGACTGAAAATGACCTAGGCTGCGGATACGGGTTTTGGAATCCGGACCCACCCAACTGAAGCGGGGGGGGTGGTATTTCGTGTCTCGAGAGAGGCCTCACATGTGCATGATGATCTGTAGGAGGGGTGCCAGCTTGGACCTGGGCTGGGCCCGGTAGCCATCTCAAATTTCTGTTTTTCCTGCACCTTCTATGTTTCACGTAGATCCTGTGGCGCCTCGAACGCACAAAGGTATGTGTTTGAGATTTTATACCGTTAGAAACAATGCTGACAACGGGACTAACCCCAGCGCTTGGGAGGCAGGGGTAGGTGGATCACTGCGAGTTCGAAGCCAGTTTGGTCTACATAGCGCGTTCCAAGACAGCCAGAGCCACACACTAACTAAGACTGTGTCGGAAAAGCAACAAAAACAATCAACGAGGACAGAAACCAAACCCTAATGTTGGGCCTGGCAAGGTGGTCCACACCTTTAACCCCAGCACTGTGAATTTGAAATTTTCCTATCATTAGAAACCTCATGTTGAAGCCGGATCTAATCCCAGGATTTGGGAAGCAGAAGCAGGTGAATCTCTTGAGTTTAGAGGCAGCCAGGTCTTCAGAGCAAGGTCCAGGACAGCCAGGGAAGTCAAAACAAAAATCTTTAAGTAGGGAAGCAGCCCCCCTCAAAGCCACTCTAATCTCCAGCTGCCTTTTCCTTTCCTTTCCTTTCCTTTCCTTTCCTTTCCTTTCCTTTCCTTTTTCCTTTCCTTTCCTTTGTTTTGTTTTTTGAGACAGGGTTTCTCTGTGTAGCCCTGGCTGTCCTGGAATGTGCTCTGCAGACCAGGCTCAGAGGACAGTCCTCCTCTGCCTCCTGAGTGCTGGGACTG